CACCACCATTACTTCTATCATTATGTTTGTTAAATTCGTTGTTATTGCTACCACTTATATCACTGGCAATCATCTTCCACCATCATCATCACCACCACCATCATCACCACCACCATCATCAACAATCATCATCATCACCATCATCGTCATCATTACATCACACACCACCACCATCATCACCACCACCATATCACAATCATCTCATCCTCATCATCACATCATCAACATCATCATCACCATCATCAACAATCATCACCATCATCGTCATCATTACCATCATCATCACCCACCCCCACCCCCACCATCACACCATCATCAACAATCATCATCACCATCATCATCATCATCATCACCATCCTCCTCCTTATCATCATCACCAATCAACCACCACCATCATCACCATCATCACAACCACCACCATCATCATCACATCACCAATCACCACCACCATCATCCACCATCATCACCATCATCACCATCACACAATCACCACCATCATCACCAATCACCACCACCACCATCATCATCACTAACACAACGACGAAGCCAATGGTTAGCCTCACACAAACATACACACAAATACCAGACGGGAAAGCACGACATCAAAGACAGGTAATCCTAATGTAAAAGGTAATTAGGAGAAGCCCAAGTATAAGGCGTCGTTACCTTTCTTCTTTCTCTTCCTGACCTTCCTATGTCCTTCATTTATTGTTTTATCTCTTCGTTCGTCTTTTAAAGTTCCCCTTTCTCTCTGCATATGTCCTTTATTTCTTGTTTTTTTTTTTTTTTTTTTTTCGTTTTTTTAATGGTCTTTTTGAAGGTTCTTTTTTCTCCTTTCTTCTTCTCTCATTTCTTGTTTTATCTTTTCGTTCGTCTTTTAAAGGTCCTTTCTCTCTGAATATGTCCTTTATTTCTTGTTTTTATCTTTGCGTTCGTTTTTCATGGTCCTTTAAAAGTCCTTTTTCTTCTTTCTCTCCTTCTCTCATTTCTTGTTTTATCTTTTCGTTCGTTTTTGATCGTCTTTTAAAGGTCCTTTGATACCTGAAGTCTTTTATTGTCTGTTTGTCTGTCTGTTCGTCTATTTGCTTGTCTGTCTGAATCGTATTCATGTTGACAAATGTAGAAAAGGTATGAATGGTAATGACTGTCTTCACATGCTCTAAATCGATTCATATACTCGAAACCGGTGAAATACATCTTTTTGTTTTGTGAAGATATTCTCATCCATGCCTTTTCTACTCTGTCTATCTCTCTGTGTCTTTTTTTTTTTTTCTTTTTTGTCTCTCTGTGTCTTCTCTTTTGGCTCTGTCTTTGTCTTTTTGTTTAACTGTACCTGTCTTTGTGTCTCTGTGTCTATGCATTCCTCTTTCTCTCGTGTTGTGTCTATACATTTCTCTTTCTCTCGTTTTGTGTCTATGCATTTCTCTTTCTCTCGTTTCCTCCCTTTCACCCCCCCCCTCTCTCTCTCGTGCTGTGACTATACATTTCTCTCGTTTTGTGTCTATGCATTTCTCTTTCTCTCGTTTCCTCCCTTTCATCCCCCATTCTCTCTCTATCGCTTTCCTTTACCCTCTTACCACTCCTCCCCATCGATAACTCTTACCGGACCGGAAGAAAAGCTAATCTACATTGCTAGAGCTTCAGCCTCAATGAATATAGAAGGTTCTACTTACATATCAGACCAAGCTTTTTACATAAGGGAAAGGAGGGGGAAGAGAAAGAAATTGGAGGGGGAGGGGGTGAAAAGAGTGTGGGAGCGGGGGGGAGAAAGCGTAGGATGGGGGAGGGAAGAGGGAGATAAGAGGGAGAGAGTGATGAAGAAGAGAGAGGAGTGAACGTGAACGTGAACGTGAATAATATGAGTCGCGGAACTGGTGCATAATCAGCTTGGTTGTGTATTTGTTTTTCTTGTTCAACATTATATAACATGAATGAAGTGTGGGACATTCGAAAGTGAAATAATACCTTTTCATTTAGCATTGAAGAATATGACACATACCTTTTTCTGTGACGTTGAAGTTGTTAATTATTTGCGAATAAAATATTTCGTGAAATATTTAAAATTTTGAGTCGTTGTATTCAATATTTTTCACGTAATACTGTTGGCTTCATTAACAAGAAATTCTTCCAGTAATGAAATAGGTTCTAAGAAATATAACTCTCACTGGCAAGAAGTCTGTATAATGTCATACACCTGCTCTCATCTATTAATCAAATACCCTTTCGATTCCTCACATTTGTCTGACGGTGGATTTCGGTGAAAATCGCAGTAGTGTGAGGATGAGAGTCTCTTTATCTCTTGTTTCTCTGTCTCTGTCTGTCTGTCTGTCTGTCTCTCTCTCTCTCTCTCTTTTCTGTCTCTCTCTCTTTCTATCTCTCTCTCTCTCTTTCTTTCTCTCTCCCTCCCTCTTTCTCTCTCTCTTTCCTTCCTTTCCCTCTTATCCTGCCCCTATCTTCCTATCCCTAATAATTTTGCGTATTTTGATTATTACATCATGTTCACTTATAATTGCTACCGTTATGATGACCATTACACAGAGTAGAGAAGGAAATGTTTCTACTCCCGTTTCACAGTAGCTTTCTCTTCTCTTTGCTTAGTTAAGAGACATGCGAAAAGTCACTGATGTCTTGTAGTGAAATTTTTATGGATGGATTGGCCTTAAATTGGAGACCAGTGTTTTAAATTTCGGATCTAGGAGTCGATTAGAAAAAAAAGAAAATAAAAAAAATGCCAGTGTGATTCGAAACAGAAAATGGATTTGTCGGGAAATTGATTAATAGGCAATTTCCTCTTTAGAAATGCGGTTGACTTATGTAAATGAAAGATAGATTTTGGGGCGTTGGCAGAGATCTGGGGTCATCCCTACGATGTTGATAGTAAGCAAGGTTATATTGATAATAAGGAGAGTGCTAATGATAATAGTATCAGTAATAGTTGTAATCATTACGATGATTATGAAGATCTTATTAATAGTTATGATAATGAGGGCAATAAAAACAACAACAATGAAAATGATAGACACAGAATGAATATTAATAGTTACAATAATGATGAGGGCAATCAAACCAACAATAATAAAAATAAAAACACAGAGGAATAAAATAAACCATAACAACAAGACGATACAAAATAAACCGCAATAATGATACCGATAAAAACACTGCTAATGCTATCAACAATGACAAAAATCTCTCTATAAAAGAATGAATATTGTAGATCCAAGGTGGCCAACCAGTCGACCACAAGCCTGTTTTAAGTCGATCACACTGCTGTACCTGTTCATAATTCGACCTTCAGAAGTTGTCATGCAAATAGCTGCAATAGCATATCCAAGTACTCATGATACTTGGATTATTATATTTCTTTTTTTTTCTTTGGGAATAAGTTATATTTATATTTATAATGATGTTACTCTGTTACATTTATGGAATATGATTGAATTTTAGGCTGGTAGATCGCATCGGGGTAACTGTAGAAAAAGTAGACCATATCTCACAAAAGGTTGGATTTGTTGCAGATCATCAAATATACAAGAATAACACACTTTCTCCACAGACAAAAAAAAAAAAAAAAAAAAAAAAAAAAAAAAAAAAAAAAAAAAAAAAAAAAATGAATATTGCAGATCAACGAAAACACAAGAATAACACACTTTATCCGCAGACAAACAATCTATAAAAGAATGAATATTGTAGATCGAATGACGCACTTTCTCCACATTGCAGAGTTCGGCCTTCCCTCGTGCTGTGGAAAGGGCAAGATGAACCCTCACCTCGGATTGCCCAGCTGTCACGTCACTGCCTCCGTCTCCATATTATACATTATTTATGTGGCGTGTCTCTTGCCCTCTGGGACTCTCGGGTAAGTTCAAGGATTTATTGTCTGTCTATTTTTTTTTTTTTTATTTCTCCTTTTTTGTCTATTTTTTTCTTCTCTCTTCTTTCTTCTCTCTCTTCTCTTCTCTCTCTCTCTCTCTCTCTCTCTCTCTCTCTCTCTCTCTCTCTCTCTCTCTCTCTCTCTCTCTCTCTCTCTCTCTCTCTCTCTCTCCCTCTCTCTGTCACTCTTTCTCTCTCTCTCTCTTTATCAATCAGTAAATGTGTTAATTGTTATTTTGTATAAACAGATGTATTTCTTTATATGTGCATAGCATATATAGGCATGTTTATGGTATGCTATACCATATACGTGCATATATATACTATAATGTATGCATATATACGTTTTTTTGGGGGGTGGAGGGGGGTAGGCTGGGCAGTTTGTACGCTTTATACAGAGAAATATATAAAAAGTACAAAAAATAAGTGAGCGAACTTTCACTCTTTATGTATACTGTTCTTCTTTAGTTTACACGTTCATATATACACGTTCTTGTTGATTACTCTTATTTTCCGTTCGTTGCCGTTTTTTCTTTCTTCATATTTCTCTTTCTTCTGTTCCTGACTCGCTTGGCTCCCCTCTCTCTCTTTTCATCTCACAGCTCTCTCTTCTCTCTTCCTTCCTTTCTCTCTCTCTCTCTCTCTCTCTCTCTCTCTCTCTCTCTCTCTCTCTCTCTCTCTCTCTCTCTCTCTCTCTCTCTCTCTCTCTCTCTCTCTCTCTCTCCTCCCCTCTCCCGCATATCTCTCTGCATATCTGTATGCGCGCGCACACACACACACACACACACACACACACACACACACACACACACACACACACACACACACACACACACACACACACACACACACACCACACACACACACACACACACACACACACACACACACACACACACACACACACACACACACACATACACGCACACTCACACACACACACACACACACACACACACACACACACACACACAACACACACACATATATATATATATATATATATATATATATATATATATATATATATATATATATATATATGTATATATGCATATATACATTCTTTTCCCGTTTCTCCCTTCCCCGCAGCCACATGGACCGTGCCTTGACCGTGGAAGACATCATGCCACTTGACAGGACTCTGTATGACAAGATGCGGCCTCCGAAGAAGGACGGGAAGGCTACACAGGTGTACTTCCATGTCACTGTCATGGGAATCGATTCTATCAACGAGAATTCAATGGTACGTTTGGTGTTGGTGGTTCTGTGTGGAGCGGTGTGTGTGTGAGTGTATCTGTCTATCTGTTTATCTCTCTAGCTATTCATGTATCTATCTATCGATCTGTCGGTCAGTCTATTTATCTGTCTGTTATCTATCTATCTGTTTATCTCTCTAGCTATTCATATATCTATCTATCTGTCAGTCAGTCTATGTATCTGTCTGTTATCTGTCTATCTGTTTATGCTAGCTATTTATCTATCTATCTGTCAACCAATCTATTTATCTGTCTGTTATCTATCTATCTGTTTATCTCCCTAGCTATTCATCTATCTATCTGTCAGTCTATGTATCTGTCTGTTATCTATCTATTTGTTTATCTGTTTAGCTCTTAATATATCTATCTGTCAGTCAGTCAATCTATTTATCTGTGTTTGTCAGTCTGTTTAGGTATATAGATGTGCATGTTTGTTTTTGTGGATTTTATACATGTAGTTTTTCTTTTAATTTAGCGTCGTACGTAGGACATTTTTTGTATATGTTAAGTATTTTTTGTGGAGCTATTGTAAGTAGCTTATGTAAGTGCGTATAGATGACAATAATGATAACAATTACATCGATAATGATGATAATAATGATAACAATTACATCGATAATGATGATAATAACGACGATAACAAACATAACGACAATGATGCCATTACTGAAATTATTAACAACAATAACAAGGATAACAACAATGCCCCTCGTCAACACCACCTATAACGACCACTTCCATCGTTTCCACCCGTTAACGACCTAATTGTTCTTCCAACAGACATATGCGGCAGATATTTTCTTTGCACAGACATGGACAGACCATCGCCTCAGACTACCGGAGAATATGACGTCAGAGTATAGGTGGGTGTCTTTGTTTATTTTTGTTTGTTTTGAGTGGGTGGTTGGGTGATTTTGGATTTTTTTTTCTTGTTTGTCTCGGTCTGTGTGGTTGTTCTGTGTCTTTGGTTTGGATTGATCTTACTATTTTTATGTCTTTCTTTTTCTTTACTTTGACTGTTTCTGTTTGTCTTTCTCGACTCTCTCTCTCTCCTCTCTCTCTCTCTCTCTCTCTCCTCTCTTCTCTCTCTCTCTCTTCTCCTTCTCTCTCTCTCTATCTCGCTCTCTTTCTCGCTCTCGCTCTCACTCTCTCCTCCCTGTCTCTTCCTCACTATCTTATCTCTGCCTTTTTCCGTCCTCTCTCATCTCCCCTTTCTCCGTCACCTCACCTTCACTCCATCACCCCTTTCCCCTCCTCCACCTCCACCTCTTCCCCCTCCTCACCTCCTTACGCTTCCCCTACCTCACCCTACTCTCCACCCTCCTCACTCCCCTTCCCCCACCTCTACCTCTCTCTCTCTTTCCCTCGTTATCCCGTGCCCATTCATGACGTCACAATGCACCTAATGAGCGTCTTTTGACCCCCCCCCGTCCCAATAATGAAAAAAATATCTATGTAATCTCCCCTCTATCTTTTTCTGCTTTTGTTTTCTTTTTTTCCTGTGTAGATGCTTGTTTGTCTCTGTCCTCTCTCTCGTCTCTTTCCTCTCTCTCTCTCTCTCTCTCTCTCTCTCTCTCTCTCTCTCTCTCTCTCTCTCTCTCTCTCTCTCTCTCTCTCTCTCTTTCTCTTTCTCCCTCCCTCCTCCTCCCCCTCCCTTCCTCTCTTCCCGCACCTCCCACTCTCACTCTCTCCCTCCCTCCCTTCCTCCCTCTTTCCTCTTTTCTTTCTTCTTCCCCCCCCTCTCTCTCTCTCTCTCTCTCTCTCTCTCTCTCTCTCTCTCTCTCTCTCTCTCTCTCTCTCTCTCTCTCTCTCTCTCTCTTCTCTCTCTCTTTCTCCTCCCTACCTCCCTCTCGCTTTCTCCTCCCTTCCTCTTTTACCTCTTTTTCTCCCCTCTCTCTCTCTCTCTTCGTACCTTCTCTATCCCCTCTTTTCTCTCTCCGCTCAAGCACTCTTCACTCATCCGTAGAAACCGGAGCTACATATCGCACATAATAACTAGGTAGAATCCCCGATAATGAACATTTTTGTATCTTTCTCTTCTTCCCCGTGATATCTTTCCTATCTTTTTTATAACTTTATCTACGTTTCTTTCTTTATTATTACCGGCATTATAGTTTTCGTGATAGTATCATAATTCGATTTACAAATAGAGGGATTTTTGAGAGTATAACTGCAATGGCCATTTTTTACCCGGAAACGTAAAGAAAAAAAAAAAAAATAGTAAAGTCAATTCCTGATATTATAACTGCAATGGCCATTTTTTTTTTTTTTTTTTTTACCCGAAACGTAAAGCGAAAAACTAATTCAAGTAAAGTCAATTTCTGATATTATAACTGCAACGGCCATTTTCTTTTTTTTCTTTTTTTTTACCCGAAACGTAAAGCGAAAAACTAATTAAAGTCAATCAATTTCTGATATTATAACTGCAATGGCCATTTTTTTTTTTTTTTTTTTTTTTTTTTTTTTTTTTTTTTTTTTTACCCGAAACGTAAAGCAAAAAAACTAATTCAAGTAAAGTCAATTTCTGATATTATAACTGCAATGGCCATTTTTTTTTTTTTTTTTTTTTTACCCGAAACGTAAAGCAAAAAAACTAATTCAAGTAAAGTAAATTTCTGATATTATAACTGCAATGGCCATTTTTTTTACCCGAAACGTAAAACTAATTCACGTAGAGTCAATGATTATTCATGGCATAAAATCGGGTTTCTGTCACACGCGTCGGATAAATTATTAATGATATGCATCTGGGATTCCCCTCTTGTGCACGAGGGAGGGAGGGAGAGGGAGAGAGAAGGAGAAAGGAGAGAGAGCAGGAGGAGGGAGAGAAGGAGAGGAAGACAGAGAGGAGGAGGAGGAGGAGAGGAGAGAGAGGAGAGAGGAGGAGAGAAGAGAGAAGAGGAGGAGAAGGAGAGGAGAGAGGAGGAGGAGGGAGAGAGAGAGGAGGAAAAGGAGAGAGGAGAGAGGAGGAGGAAGAAGAGAGGAGAGAGAGAGAGAGGAGGAGAGAGAGGAGAAGGAGAGAAGAAGAGGAGAGAGGAGAGAGAGAGAGGAGAGGGGAGAGAGAGAGAGAAGGAGAGAGAGAGGAGGAGAGAGAGAGAGAGAGAGAGAGAGAGAGAAGAGAGAGGAAGAGAGACGAAGAGGAGGAGAAAGAGAGAGAGAGGAGGAGAAGCGAGAAGAGAGAGGACAGGAGGAGAAGGAGAGAGAGGGAGGAGGAGGAGGAGGAGAGACATGCATGCCTACAGCTTCTAAGACATATGTATGAATAAGAAAAAAGAGAATAACATAATTACTTAATCTCCATCCTTCTCCCCCTCTTTCTCTCTCTCTTGCTCTCTTCTCTCTCTCCTCTCTCTCTTCTCCTCCGCTCTCTCCTCTCTCCCTTCCTCTCCGCTCTCCCCTCCTCTCCCTCCGCTCTCTCTCCCTTCCTCTCCGCTCTCTCTCCTCTCTCACCCTTCCCTCTCCGCTCTCTCCCTCTCTCCCTTCCTCTCCGCTCTCTCCCTTCCCTCCTGCTCTCTCCCTTCCCCTCCGCTCTCTCTCTCTCTCTCTCCCCTTCCCTCCGCTCTCTCCTTCTCCTCCGCTTCTCCCTTCTCCCTTCCCTCTCCGCTCTCGCTTCTCTTCTCCGCTCTCTCCCTCTCTCCTTCCCCTCATCTCCTTCCCCTCCGCTCTCTCCCTCTCCTCCCTCCTCTCCCCCCTCCGCCTCTCTCCCTCTTCTCCTCTCTCTTCCTCAGCTCTCCCTCTTCTCCCTGCTCTCTCTCCTCTCCTCTTCTCCTCTCTTCCCCTTCCCCCTATCCCCTCTCTCTCTTCCCTCTGCTCTCTTTCCACCCTCCTCTCCGCTCCCTCTCTCTTTCCCCTCCCCTTCTCTTCTGTCTCCCTTCTCCCTTTCTCTCCTTCGCTCTCTCCCTCTCTCTCCTCGCTCTCTTTCCCCGCTCTCTCCTCCTCTCTCTCTCGCTCTCTCCCTTCCCTCCGCCTCTTCCCTTCCTCCCGCTCTGTCCCTTCCCTTCCGCTCTCTTCCCTCTCCTCTCTCCTCTCTCTCTCCCTCTCTCCCTTCCCTCTCCTTCTCTCCCTTCCCCTCCGCTCTTATCTCTGTATCGGTCTTCCTCCCCTAAGTAGTATCGACCAGCATATGGCCCGAGGATCATTAGCAATGTACAAGGCTGTAATGTCTTCACAATCGTTGCATTTTGTTGCTTGGAAGGGTAAATACGGCTTGGGATTTGGGTTTTGTACTCGTGTGATGGATTAGATACTGTGGGATATATTCATTGATAAAGATCGTAGAATGTTTGATTTTATTTTGTGTTTTGTACTGGTGTGATGGATTAGATACTGTGGGAGATAATTTATTGATAAAAAAGATTCATAGGATGTTTTGTATGCTATTTGTGTTCTCGAGATATTCATTTAATTTATTGATAAAAAGATTCATATGATGTTTTGTATTCTATTTGTGTTCTCGAGATATTCATGTTTTTTTTCTTCTTCTTTACCTTCGCCAAGGAGGTTATGTTTTGGGTTTGGCTTGTTAGTTTTGTTGGTTAGCAGGATAATTCAAAAAGTTATAATCGGATTTCTATTTTTTATTTTATTTTTATTCTTGTTTATTCTATTTTTGTTTATCTATTTATTTATTCATTTATTTATTTTTTACCAGAGGTGTGTCTTAGCCTAACTTAATATCCAGGATTTGTTTTGAGGATTACACCAGCTACCCCTAATGTCTTGGCAACAGGGGTAACTATTATCATCATTACCCTTATCACCTCCTTCAATGAGGCTGTGTTTATGAACGTTACCAGTGTACTTGAGAAATAAGTGATTTTAATATGGTACCTCATATAAGAATATTTCTATTCACCAATTACCCAATTGCTTTGGCGGAGGTATGCGGTCTTCGAGTGCTTCTAGGTTTTCATTCATCTTTTCCTGCGTCATACTATGATAACTGATAAATCTTAATTCAAAGTCCCTCGATTTTAGTCCTATAACATGTCTCTTTCTGTAAACCTCTAACTGAAGCAGGCGAAAGAAAGGAACATCCTTAAAGGTCATCCTCCCCAAGGCTCTGAGGCATGTCCGAAGTGGAATGCTAAAACTGGTAAGACTCTGAAGATAGTTCATGATCGGTGGGTGTCGACGAGGAGTGATTCGGTAGTGGGTCGATATTTCTCTCGCTGAGGCGTTACGTATCCGTGTATGTATAAGTGTACGGTGGTCGATAAGTATTCTTTGGGTGTATAAAACCAGTGAATCCCAAAACCCACAATGGAAAGTAAATGACGAGGATGAAAACAACAATAACAAAAACAGTGGCAAAAACAATAATATAAACATGACAACAACAGAAACTAAAGCAAGGGTATAACAAAGCCATGGTGACAACAACAGGCTGAACAAAAACAACAGCAACAACAATAACACCCATAACAAAACAACAAAAACAATCACAACAAAACACAGCAATTCATAAAAAACACAAGCAACAAAAAACAAAACTAAACTACTCTTCTCCTCTCTCTCTTCTTCTCCTCTCCTCTCCTCTCCCCTCTCTCTCTCATAAAAACAAGCATAACCATAAAAACAAAAGCAACAACAACAACAACAAAAACAACAACCAGGACCCCAAATCGAAAAATTTCCGAATCCCTGAGTCCCTGTCCTCTCCCCCAGGCTCCTCGACCTCGACTGGCTCAAGGCCTTGTGGCGACCCGACAGCTTCTTCAAGAACGCCAAGCAAGTCACCTTCCAGACCATGACGATCCCAAACCATTACGTGTGGCTCTATCAGGACTTCAGGATCCTGTACATGGTGAAGTGAGTGATTTCATTGTCTTTATTGTTATCATTGTTATAATTGTTATCATTAATATCATCATCATTATTAATAGCGTTATTGTCGTCGATTTTGTTATCATCGTCTTCATCTTCATTATTGTTATTATTATTATTTACTGTTCATTAATAAAATCATTTTCGGAAACTGAGTTTAGAAAATATTACTGGGATTCAATAGAGGCTAGAGTTTAGATGAGCGAGGAAAATGAGAGAGGAGAGGAAAGAGGAAGAGGAGGGAGGGGAAGGGGAGGAGAGGGAGAGGGGGAGAGAGGGGGATAGAGGGAGAGGGAGGGAGGGGGAGGGGAGGAGAGGGGGAGAGAGAGAGGGAAAGGGAGAGGAGGGAGAGAGATGAGGGAGGGAGAGAGAGAGAGAGAGAGGAGGAAGAGGAGGAGAGAAATAGAGAGGAAAAGGAGAGAGAGAGAGATGAAGAGATGACAGATGATAGAGAGATAGATAGATAGACAGAGAGAGACAGAGGGAGAAAAGAGACAGACAGACAGACAGGCAGACACCACTAAAGTTCAAGATATGCAAAGAGACCCTGAAGCAAGAATAATGGAATTACTTTACCAGGATCCGCTTTGGTATTCAAGTGACTCATTTTTCGCTCTCCAGCTCTCTGTCTCGTCTCCTGTCCAGTCCCTTTCATCTCTCCTTTCTTCCCTTCGTGTGCCTTTCTCCGTCTCGCTCTCCCTCCCTTCGCTCTCTTCTTCTTTACCATCCCCCCACCTCTCTCTCTCTCTCTCTCTCTCTCTCTCTCTCTCTCTCTCTCTCTCTCCTCTCCCTCCCTCCCTCCCTCCCTCCCTCCCCCTCCTCACTCCACATCTACTCTGTCTCACTTTCTATTTCTTTCTCTCTTTCTCTCTCTCTTCACTCTCTTCTCTCTCTCCCACTCCCACTTTCTATTCTCTCTCTCTCTCCCACTCCCACTTCCTATTCTCTCTCTCTCTCCCTCTCTCTCCCTCTTCCACTTACCCCTGGCTCCCCGCAGTGAGTCTGAAAGCCACTGCCAGGGTCACCCACAGGTGCCAGTGAGCGAAACAAAGAGGTTCTTGGTACAGTCGCTTTGCTTGATGTTTTGTCTGTATGTGGAAAGCCAGATGCTGTGTTTGTTGTGTATGTGTAATCTGGGTTGGACTTGCTTGGAATATACCTGCGTGTGCGTGGTGGCAAGATGTATACGATGCAAGCAGAGTGGCAGAATATTTAATGGTGATAATGGTAAGGTAGACAATAATATCTAAAAACGTCTGGTAGATAGTGCTCGGTTACAATATATACCTATCTAATGTAAGTTTAATCCATGCTCTACCTTGTATGGGAATGAATACCTGCTTAGTGTTAATTTGATGTATGCCTCTCTAATAGCAGTAGAAGGTCTCCATGATATTGATTAAGCGTACTTACCAAATCTGTGTCGAACTTCTTAAGTAGTATTTAGAAACGATGGCTATTCTTAAATATTCAGAGGCAGTGACTATCATACTCTATAAAAATGGAATTTGATAGTCATAGAAACACTCCATATAAACAGAA